ACCCATCATTGACAGGAAGGAATGGGTAGGGGGTCCCGCTCCCGTGGGAACCGTTGCCTTCCTATTGATTTCTTTTTAGTTTTAGATTTTCGTCACATAACCTCGTAACAACAGATAAAAAGCATTTGGTATAACTGGAATTATTTGCATTCAAAAATTAGAATCATTGTCTTGTGTGGCCAAATGATAATCAATTCCAATTGGGATATCATTTTCATTTGCATTTGCAAAAAGTCAAAGACCAAATCGGTAGTGCAAGACTTCCCCAACATCCAGTATTTCTTTTATCTTGATATATAATTGGCTAAACCTAGTATTTATGCCTTACATATTAATTTTTTTATGATCAATATTTTTTATAGTTTTTATATTAAGTTAACACATTTTATTATTTAAAATTCACAATAAATTCTGAATTATCAATAAAATCAAAATACAAATAAGAATTTGACTGTTAATTTTTTTATTTTTTATAAATTTTTATAATTTAAAAATTAACTAGAGTAAAAAAATTTTTAAGTTTTGACCGCAAAAAATTAAAAAATAAAAATAAAAATAAAAATCCAGGATACATATAAATAGATTGGTCTATATAATTCCTCAAAGAATACCCCGACCTGTTCCAACAATTACAATTATTCATGATTAAATTGACCATCAAAAGTTCAAAACACAAATTTGAAGAAAATAATTAAGAAGATACTTACTGAAATGCCTTGCTGTACAGACACTTCATTGCCTTGCATTTCCGAATTTAATTCCTGAATAATTACAGAGACTTCAATGCTGGCAATGAAAGTTCTAACTAAAATATCGTTACCTGAACAGACACTGCTTGGATGCAACATCACATTTCAAAGAAGCCCTCTTCTTCTCTTGTAATCCCCAACTGTTAAGGTAAGAGCATGTCTCCTCCCATCATTCTCCGGGACACAATATCCAACGGTTGCTTCTATTCTTTGTTTCCTAGCCATAAATCCAGCCAAGGCTCCCTGAGGACCACCAAACTTCTGTAGTGTGTTCAATGTGATTGGAACCTCGAAATCATGAAGCATGTTTGATTCTGTTCCTTGATCCACAGGAGCACTTGTGTCAACTAACTTACCTGCACCAGCAGCAGCTTCCAAGGCAGCTGCTGTAGCTGCCATGCCAGCCTCTGTCCTTGCTCCATTAATATTTCCACCAGGCAATGCACCATTAGAATCACCATTACCCACTGCTGATTCTCCTCCTGGAGGCTTTGCATCATAGTAGTTCCTCGATCTAGTCCACCTCCTTGAAAATGGATCATATCCAGCCTCCCCAGCTTTTAACAAGGTATTTACAGGTTTCAACTCTGATGCATTTTTAAAATTCTCAACCCTGTTCTTTCTGTTCATCTCAGCCAATCTGATAGCTTTCTTATCTTTCCCTTGTGCTTGCCGGGATGCCTCTAATTGCTGCAGCCTTGTTTTTATCCTCTCCACTTCTTTCTCATCATGTTTGCTTTGTGCGATTTCCAACTGCCTCTTCAACCGCTCCTTCTCAGCTGCAACATTCAATGGCCTTGCTAAAGTAGATTCTTTCTCCTGTAACATTTGCTTAACAGTAGCAGCTGAGTAGACAAATGTTTTGGCCTTTTGTAATGCCTCTTTCTTTTCTAACACATCTTGTTTGGTTGGCATTCGACCTCCATGTCGCTCCACCTCCCTGAGCAATTGTCTAAATTCCTCCTCTAGTGGCAGGGAGTCTGAAATCATGGCCATCTGCCACCTGGCAGCAGTGCTCTCATTGCCCCAAACAACATTCAAATACTTATGTGTTGTTTTATTCTCTAGTTTGTATTGTCGGTTAGGGTCAGTGGCATCAACATTTCTAACCATGCAGAGCCTGTAGATAGCGCCGCTTCTTGACTTCCCAATTCCAACCCTCACAAAGCATCCTACAATCAACTCTTCAAAAAATGGCTCCATAAACCATTTTGCAAGTTTTGACCTCCTGATAGTAATTTCTTTTATATCTTCAAATGTTGGCCCTTGCGGCCCCCGAGTGCTCCTATCATCATCACTGTCAACCATTTCGTCATCCTCTGACAACCCTTCATCTTCGCTGTTAGACCTAATCTCACTCTCACTCTGACTGGAGCTACTTAGGCTTGCTGACTTCTGCTTGATTGATGAAAATCCCCTGCCACCAGACCATCCTCTGGGTGCATCCCTCAGCTTACCATGTGCCTCTGGATCCTGCTGCTTCAACCTTTTAGCTCTCAACTCATTGAGAGCATCATCCTTAGCAGTGGTCCTGTCTGCAGATCTGGCTGATGATCGTACACCACGGGATGATGGAAGAGGTGGAGTCTCTTTTCTGGATTGACTGTTCTTCTCATTGTCACGTTTTGATCTGATTTTTTCAGTAAATTTCTTGTCACCTCTCTTATCTGCTCGCTCTGACAATATCATCTCTCTTTCTAGTTCAGTCAACTGTGCAAGCTTCTGCCTGTCATCCTCATTCTTGTAAAGATCATCACCAACATCAGATTCATCACTGCTGTCACCCTCGTGATCAGAACGACCACCATCATAATCACCTTCTCCTTGACTGCCATGACCATCATCCCTATCAGTGGCTTCCAACCTCTTCTTCAAAGGAACTTGTGAACCAGATGGCTTCCTGCTTCCATAGCCACGATCATCATCAGAATCATCACTCCCACCATCAGAATATGAACCCTCCCGCCGCCTCCTAGATGGTGGAAGTGAGTGCCGGTTTCTCACTCCTGTATTGGTCCTTCCAGCTGCTTCCAAAAGCAAATTTTCCAAGTCCGCCATACTCCACCGTCCCTTTTTATCAAGAATAATGGGTCTTCACTCCTACAAAAATTTTGGAAGTTTCACTAAGTTCAAGGACCATCAATCAAACAAACAACATTTTATGGGCAATAAACTGCCATCACTGCAAAGTTTTCACATATGAATAACTTCTCCCACGATTCAAGCTGCCAAAATATACATGAATAAAAACCAAATTACCCATTAAATATTGATGTTTAAGCTTACACAAGAACATAAAATGGTAATCTTCCCATCAATTATCTTAATCAAACTCCAAAAAAAAAAAAAACGGGGGGCAGAGTAGCCATTACGATTGCTGATATCTTTCAATTATCGTAAGTAGAACTACACCAGGCCATGATTAAAGAGCAAAAGGCGTGTACACAACTTACATTCACATGAAGATGTATTCGTTAACGTTGCTCGAACCTGCCTCCTTCCCGAGATTTCCTCTCACATGCGATGGGATCCTAGCATGGCTATGGCTAACGCGTCTGAAGCAATACGGAAACATCGCAAAGGTATTCTGTGGCGCAAAATTAGCCCAGCTGGAAGCTTCGATCTTTGTTTCCACTGCTTCGATTTCTCAGTCCCGTTTCCCTGAATCAAAGGATCAGCTTCGATGCGATAATTAACAACGAAATATGGAGAAGTAAGGAGGGGAAGAGATCCTGGTTAGGGCTTGGCGTTTTGGGGTAAGAAAAAGGAGAAAAGATAACAATTGAATTGAACATTACAATTTAAAATTTGTCTTACAAATTTTCCATTTTCATCCACCTTGTTTTTTTTTTTTGACAATACAGTAGTATTTTTTATGTTCGAAAGCAGATTTTCAAGTTTAACAGTGTAAAAATATATTTATTAAAAGACTTGGGTACCTGTATTAATAAATTAATAAAAATTTAATAAAAATTTCTACTTTTTTTTTTCAAGACGGTTTGAAAAGTACCTTTTATTTTGTTTTTACCTTTTAGTGCCGATTTCCCTTTTTTTTTTTGTTTTTAAAGATGACAAAAACTGAAATCTCTTTCAAAACTCTCTCTCTCTCTCTTTTTTTGAATAATAAGGCATAAGATTAGAAAAAAACACAAAATACAGAAATTAATTCCAGGAAAAGAGAATCCCTCGTCACATCAACATTAAGACACATGCCAAGCCCCTGTGGGGTTTGGGCAATCATCAAAAGATACAAAACCCCGATGTAAAATGTCACATGGTTGCCACCCGATGGGGGCACAGGTTGGGCTCTCTAAATAGGTGTTGAAAACGAGTTTGAGGGAATTGGGCCAGCGGCTTCCTACAATCCAAAATCATGGCGGAAAGAGGGTGGTTAGCAGAGTCCTTCCCTAAAGAGAGTCAACTTCAACAATGTGGAACATTAAGACCCTGCTGGGCCAATAACAACCCATCCCGCAGTCCCCAGAACGAGGTCACAAGTTGACATGCACAATTAGAACACGTAAAAGATGGTCAGCATTACCAATAATTTTCTTAAACCATTAACAAGTTAACATCAAACAAACTAATTAGGGTGATTGTATGATGGCATATACAATTTGACACGCACCAATAGTGGTAGAAAGGACGAAAGGGGAGTGCCTCAAACTCTTTTCCTTCATGATAAAGATCTTTATGAGTTATTGGCATGAGCTTCATGTATTATTTTAACAATGCATTAAAGAGAACCTACAATATAAACTGTAATGTCCTAGTAGTTGTAATAATAGCTTATGAATATAATGCTTCAAACATATCATGAGGAAAATGGGTGCTAGGCACTTTGAACACATGCAAATATTGTAGTGGTGGTAGTCTGAGGTCATGTCTCTCATTATAGTCTGAGGTCAAGTACTTCAGGTGACCTGATCTACTTCCAACAATCTAGTCACCTCGATATCAGGGAACAACGAGTTCAGTTGAGTTCAAGCTCGTTCTCCTTGCTCCTATTCTACAGTAACTCTGTACATACACAGATTTTTCAGGAGAGTTTCATGCGATCATTGACACATATAATCCTGATTGCCAGTGAAGAACAACAAGTGGATGTCCCTTTGAAGGCTATAAATACCCATCCTTCTCAAAAGGTAATTGAAACCAAACTCAAGTTCAGCTCTTGATTCATACTTGGTAACTCTGATTATTGCTGATTTAGGCATTAGAGCGTTTATCCCGATGACCCACCTTAAGGTTTTGCAGGTTAATTGAAGTGAAGATCCGAGTTCAGGAGTATTTTGGAGTTCTTTTACAACTACAGAGGTGTAGATTTGGTAGTGATTTCTGAAGAGCTGTGGAAGGCTATGGACCAATAACCAATTTGTTTTGTGATGCATTGGAGATCCATTCTCAGAGGCTTGAATTCATGGTGAAGCATTTTCGCAAGGATCTAATACAACTGCTTTCTACTACAAATTAATTAGAGCATTAGCATTGAAAAAGAGAAAAGGTAAAAAGATATATAAATATCAAAAGGTATTTGATCGATTCGTCTGATGACAGCCCAATAGCAACAACAACAACAATCTCTTTTAAAAGTATAAGCTGCATCCTGCATGTAATGTAAAAGAATCGAATACTAAAGCAGGATTTACTCCCACAACGTTAATTAGACTTTGAAAGAGCTTCTAATGCTAACCCTTCATTGAAGGAGCACCAAAATGTCACAGTTAAGGTTCCAAATACAAAAATGTTCTACACTTTTTTTTTCCATTTTTTCCCGACGTTAATTTTTTTAAAAGAAAAAAAACCCTCCCCAACAATAACAATTTTTTTAAAAAATGGATTGGATGCATTTGCCCCAATTCTCGGGGATAAAAAAGGAGGAAGGCCCCAAGTAATGGTTAACAGAAACTCTTTTTTTTTTTTTTATCTTAGTTCCACTTTAAAAGATAATCATCTTCCATTTTTTATTTCACTCCACTTACATGTTATGTAATTTAAATTCAAGATCTCTTACTTCCAACGAAATGAGATAATCAATGAATTACTTAGGTCATTAGTAACTTCACTTGAAGTTGAAGGAGGTGTTTGTTCTATATTTTTATAAATAGTTATTAATTATTAACTTTAAGCATACAAAATAAATATTTTAAATTATAAATTATAAATAATAACATGAATACACTTTCATAATGGGTCATATTTAACCTGCAGTTTACTACTCAAGCCCACAAAGTCTCTAACGGACTATACTTTAGCCCACTTTCACAATGGGCTATACCCATATTTAACCTTAATTGTATTTTACACTATTTTTAACGCTGGCGGCTGAACTAAAATTTGGTCTTTTTAGTGAAGAATGTTCAGTGATCAGTTACCCGATATTCAACAAATTTTACTCTTCTTCTTCTCCTTCTTCCTCCTCATCTCAAGAATTTCAGAACCAAAATGGAGAAAATCCAGCATAACTTCATCACTGTTCGAGGGCTGAAGCTTCATATAGCTGAACTCGGCTCAGGTAAATATAGTAGTAATTAACCAGACATGTTTAACAAAACCCTGTGCTAATTAATTACGTTAAGTAGTTTGATTCCATCGATTTTTTTAATCGGACATCGTCTTTCTGTTTCTCTGTCTTCAGGTCCTAACGTGGTTCTGTTCTTACATGGGTTCCCGGAGATTTGGTACTCCTGGC